AAAAATACGACCATAGCCTCAGACCATCTACTAGTAATAGACCAGTAAGAGCGATGCTCTTTATAGTATGTAATGTATTTACATAGGTACATAGGTAATATGGCATCGCTTATAATAACCCACAAAATTTGCAAGAGAGCACTGTAAATTCTTGCTAGTGAAGTTTTTACCAGCAGAAAGTAGCTAGCAGAAGGGGAACAAAAGTAAATGTCAAAGGCCGCTGTTTTTGAATTGGTTAAGCATAAAGAAAAGTAAAATGAGTGGAAATCAAAATATTTATGTTGTACTGCACTTTGCTTGTGTGTAAAGAAAAGTTTAAAACATTTATAAATTGTATAATGTTTACAGCAGCAGTGTCAAAACAGTGGAACCACTGTGCACTTGCAAGTTTTTGCTAGTTTTGTGTTGATAACTTTTTCGCTAATTTTCTTTTCACAATTCTACGCTCTATTGTGCTTGTACGCTCTCGCTGCGATTTTTACTGGACAAGTTCCCTGCAGCAAAATTTAGGGACAGTCTGGCAAAGCGCTAGTTCCGCCCTACAAATTTCAGAACTGTCCCTGAACTACTGAAAAAGGGATGCAGAGTTGGACGGTTGAAACTCATATGTTGCTAGTTGCGCTGTCATCTATGTTACTCATCCTGGTCATGTGAAAGCTGACAAAAGATGCACAAATGTAATATACTATATTTTTTCGATTTTCTTAGACCCTAAAACTAATAACAAACTGTTTTCGTTTATTTAATATATAATTCTCTACATAGTTTATGGGGCAAATGCTAAAATATTTCCAAAAAAGTCGTTATTGGTAACATTAATTTCATTTTTATACATATCTACGTACGTATAAAATTGATTGCAAAATATAAAATTTAGTTAAGCTACACTTGGCAGCAAAGGTCTGCGTACACCATTTCTTTTTTAAATATTCACAATATATTGAGAGTTAAAATTTGTTATTATTTAAATGGTCATACTTAAAATAAAATCATATAAACCATGCTTTAAAACTTTATACAAAGCAAAGTTAAATTTAACGATCTTTCATCAAAATGTTTGACCTTTTAGTCGGATTTAAAAAATTAAACAAAAGTGGTAAACAATCTCACTTTGAAATGGGAGTGCTATTGATATGAACGATACTGTACATACGTAAATGTATCACTAAGCACCCGAAATGTGGAGTTATGCAGTGATTTTTTTTTTTAATTTCCAATGTTTTTCATTTTAAATATTTTTCGTTTAGTTTTTATTTAAGTACTATGTCTCATACTCCATAAACCATTTAAATTCAAATTCCTAACCGTGCTGCAAACTTGATAGAACTCTTCAAACTGTCTTCAAAATTTAAAATTTTTAATCAGAGATATTTTTTT